ACAGAAAGAATCCGATGTGAAAGGACAATAGTGAGTTCCATGTGGACAGGTTGCTTTAAGAACCATCTGGTAGGCTATTGGATATATTGGGTTGCAGATAAAACTTGGAGAGTCATCAGCATATAATTAATAATTAAATCCCTGGGGTGATAAGGTTGTCCAAAGAGATCAGAGTAGGAAATCTCTCAACCCAGAATCTAAATATCCTGAAATTACCCAAAATGTTTTATATGTGGTTTTTGTTAGAGAAAGGTCCATTGCTTTCATCAGATTCTCAAAAGGGACAAACATGTTTATGTGAAAAGGGGCACCAGACAGGGTCCTGAGTGTCTCCATCATGTAAGTGATGGGCAGGGGAAGCAGTCTCAGCAAGGAAAATACAGAGGAGCAAGAAGGAAGTCTAAGAAATGGTTAGATGGTGGCTGTTGCCTTACGTCAAATAAAAGGAGGGCTGAAGAGTCCATGGGTTTGGCAATTAAAAGATTTGTAAAATTGTTCCTAACTAACAAGATGGAGTTAAATGTACTCCCCCAGAGGCACCATGGTTTCTGAAAACTTTAAGAACCACTGGCCTACAATAAAGTTCAAGTGTTTCAGCCAAGTAAGTGTTATGGTTGTCTAAAATTTGCTCTTGCCTTAGCATTACAAGTTTCAGCTTGTTTCAGCATTCCAAACCTTAGAGCTAGGCAGTTCCATCTCTTCACTAGTTTTTGGATATTTCATGCAAATCTTAGCTCCCAGCTTTTGCCCATGTTTTTCATCCTCTCTGCCATGTTCCCTACTCAATCAGTGGTCTCACTCCTTCACAGTGTAGTGTGTTCTGCTTTCTTTCTTCCCTTTTCTGATTGACCTGTATTGATTTCCCTCTTTATATTCTGGTGATAGTGTCTTCGTTGCAATTTATTTCACATGCTACTGCTGCCTTTTCCCAATGAAGTTTTATTCCTAAAGCCTAGTAATGTATTTCCTCATACCCCTTTGTGACCAAACTTTCATATACTTATAGATTCTAAAATATTTGAATGACTTTAACTGACACCAAAGATGGGGATTTGGAAATTTTTTTTTGTTGTTGTTGTTGTTGTTGTTTTTTTTTTTTTTTTTTGAGAGGGAATCTTGCTGTGTTGCTCAGACTGGAGTGCAGTGGCATGATCTTGGCTCATTGCAACCTCCGCCTCCCAGGTTCAAGTGATTGTCCTGCCTCAGCCTCCCTAGTAGCTGGGATTACAGGTGCCTGCCACCATGCCCAGCTAATTTTTTGTATTTTTAGTAGAGATGGGATTTCATCATGTTGGCCAGGCTGGTCTCAAACTCCTGACCTCATGATTCACCTGCCTCAGCTGGGAAATGTCTTGGAGAAAAACTTCATATGATGTATTCCAAATTACATGGGAGTGATTTATGGATCATTTTTACCAGTTGGATTCATTTCTATAGGTAATCAAGAGTTGATTACGTATCAGAGTAAGATTAATATAATAAGCTTATGAACCTTTTGGCTTTTATTTGGCATTTTAGCTCATTGAATTTGTGTCTTAAAGTGATTGAAAAATTTTTCAAAGTGGAAATGTCTTTTTTGGATTGTAAGAATAAAATATGCTTATAAAATAAAAGTCTACCAAGTTGAAGTAAAATCTTACTAATATTTCTCTACTATTCTGCCATAAACATTCATGTTTCATAAGTATATTTCCTGTTCATAAATTCAAATAGGTACTAATGTGATTAGCATGCAAAATTTGGTCATTTAAAATGCAAATAATTCATCTAAAATTAAATACAATTAATTATTTTGGAAATAACTTCAGTGGCAGATGTTTTTAATGTTCCTGGATGATTTAATCATTGACTTAAATCCACCATTTGTATTTCTTTCATTGTTTGCTGGGAACATTTGGCATAACCCAAGGCTAAGGTAGGAAAAACTGCAGCCAAAAAAAGAAAAAGAAGACCACGGTTGTATTGCTTTATTCTAGCATCAGAAATATTTTAAATGTTTAGAATTAAGAGGACTAGAGAAATTAGATGCTGTCAGTTGGATCTCATATCTGCTACAATGTGAACAGATACCGACTAACAGCAGTCCTGAATTGTAGCGGTGACTTCAAAGGAGTGAGAAATCCTTAGGCCTTAGTGGGGCTCAATTTGAAAAATACTTAAATGCATGTCTAGGCTTTTTTTTTTCCTGGAACCACAATATGTATTTCCACAAAATTACACTTTTTGTGCATATCTGCACACCATCATTTAATCACATTTTTTAAGAGAAGAAAACTTTGACCAATCTTCAGAACAAAGCAAAGTTCTTTAAATTCACAAGGAATACTGCTTGTTGAATAGAAGATAATGAAACAAGACATTAAGATGCAGATAGTGGAGATAAAATAAGCCCACTCCTGGGTGGGTGGTGCCTGGTTCCTGCACAGCTGCCTCATGGTATTCCTCAGCCCAGTTTGTGCCTCAGCAACATGGCAGATACCACATGGCTTAGACCTTTTGTCATTAATCCATTATGACTATTAAAACAAGTGTCATGGACATCCTTTATAATAAAAACTGTCTTAACTTTTTCAGGGAAAAGCAGTTATCTCAAGATTTTTCAGTAGCTATGAATTAAAATGATAATGTAACTGTCCAATGCAGTTTAATCATCTTTTTATTTCAGAAGAAATTTTATGATCTAATGTTACTGCTTGGACATGTGGATATGTTATTCCAGAAGACAAAAAAAATCACTGAGACTTTCCTTCAAAATTTATTAGACACACTTAACCACATTTATTTATTTATTTATTTTGGGGACAGAGTTTCACTCTGTTAGCCAGGCTAGAATGCAGTGGCACAGTCTCGGCTCACTGCAACCTCCACCTCCTGGGTTCAAGTGATTCTCCTACCTCAGCCTCCCAAGTAGCTGGGATTACTTGGGAGGTTCCTTCCACCGTGTCTGGCTAATTTTTTGTATTTTTGTAATTTCGTCATATTGGCCAGGTATGTCTTGAACTTCTGACCTCAAGTGGCCCACCTGCCCCAGACTCCCAGAATGCTGGGATTATAGGCGCAAGCCACTGTGCCCGGCCTTAACTGCCTTTTTAAAAAGAAACTTAAGATGAATGGTATTGCCTTACTTCAAGGAAAGGAAACATAGTAATTGGAGTAAAAAGACAAGATACCATGCTGCCTTGTTGTCAAGGCATCGAGGCCAACACCAGTCTGAGGAATAAATTAGAATATTCTTTGGCTTAAGTGCCTGCTATGTAATCCAGTCATGGGTGAGTCTAAATCAGCTAGAAGAAAGCTGTCCAATAGCATTGTAATGTAAGCTGCAGACGCCATTCAACATCTACAAATGTAACTGTCCACTATATACAAAATATTATTTCAGCCTATAATCAAGATTTTTTTAAAGTTAGAGATACTTAATGTTCTTTTTTTTGTACAATACTAAGTCTTCAAAATTCAGTGTTGTTTTTTTTTTTTTTTTTTTTACATTGTGTTTTGTTTTTTTGAGGCTGAGCCTCATGCTCTGTAGCCCTGGCTGGAGTGCAATGGTGAGATCTCAGCTCACCGAACCTCTGCCTCCAAAGTTCAAGCGACTCTCATGCCTCAGCCTCCCTAGTACTGGGATTTCAGGCACACACACCACAGCTGCCTAATTTTTGTGTTTTTGTTAAAGATGGGGTTTTCCTGTGTTGCCCAGGCTGGTCTTGAACTCCTGGGCTCAAGCGATCCACTCACCTCGGCCTCCCAAAGTGCTGGGATTATAGGCCTGAGCCACCATGCCCAGCCTCAGTGTGTATTAAATTTGAAGCACATCTCAATTCAGACCACATTTCAAGTCTTCAGTAGTTACATGTGGCTAGTAATAACTGTATTGGACAGTTCATCTCTCTAGAACATTTAGAGAATGTATGCCCATTATGTTGAGAAATGAGTTCTGTCGTATCTGGTGTATGCTACTAAGTTATGGACATTAAGAATGCCTGCATCGATGCTGACCAAGTAAGCCACTAACCTGGGTCATAAAGAGTTAGCTAGCTTTGGGACCATCTGTTTCCATGATCAAAATAAATACATCTCTGTTTAACCGAAATCACCATTTAGTAACATATTCATAAGTTTCAGTACCTTTATCTTTTTCCAGGTAAAACTCTTTAGCTTCTTATCAAACATGTTATGCCATATCTAAATTCTATATTTTATGTAATATAAGGAAAAAATCGTTTTATTTGTATGATTTGTACTTCATGTGTTAGGAACCTGTGACTACATGTTCTGAACTGTTAGTAAGAAAAATGGTGATGGATGCCTTACTCTTTACGATTTTTAATTATTTTCAGTAAAACTGGGAAATAACCATCTGATTTGCATTTTATTTTCTTTTGTATTTTAAGGATATGGAATATTATCTTGTGAAATGGAAAGGATGGCCAGATTCTACAAATACTTGGGAACCTTTGCAAAATCTGAAGTGCCCGTTACTGCTTCAGCAATTCTCTAATGACAAGCATAATTATTTATCTCAGGTAAATAAAGGCAAAGCAATAACTCCAAAAGACAATAACAAAACTTTGAAACCTGCCATCGCTGAGTACATTGTGAAGAAGGCTAAACAACGGATAGCTCTGCAAAGATGGCAAGATGAACTCAACAGAAGGAAGAATCATAAGGGGATGATACTTGTTGAAAATACGGTTGATTTAGAGGGCCCACCTTCAGACTTCTACTACATTAATGAATACAAACCAGCTCCTGGAATCAGCTTAGTCAATGAAGCCACCTTTGGTTGTTCATGCACAGATTGCTTCTTTGAAAAATGTTGTCCTGCTGAAGCTGGAGTTCTTTTGGCTTATAATAAAAACCAGCAAATTAAAATCCCACCTGGTACTCCCATCTATGAATGCAACTCAAGGTGTCAATGTGGACCTGATTGTCCCAATAGGATTGTACAAAAAGGCACACAGTATTCACTTTGCATCTTTCGAACTAGCAATGGCCGTGGCTGGGGTGTAAAGACCCTTGTGAAGATTAAAAGAATGAGTTTTGTCATGGAATATGTTGGAGAGGTATGTTAATTTGCCATGTGGCAAATGATGGGTATGTAAGTTTTGTACTTTTAGAAAATTACTTTTTTATCTCTGTAACAGATTTGGTACATTTTGATATTTTCATTTGCAGATACGTAGAAATTCATTTTCAGATTTAGAAGAGTTCACTGGCATATTTAGAAATAAAAAACATATGAACAAAAATACATGTTTTAACAATTCGATATAGTCATCTTTCAACAAATACACATTTCTACTTACGAAAGCTAGCATTTGTAAAATTTAAAATATGACAGCTTTTTTACCCAAAAGTCCTAAGAAGAAAGTCAGATTTAAAACTCGAAAGTTGTAATTTCTTTCATCAATTTGACCAAATATGGTTAAGTGTAGTTGGCAGAACTCTATTTTGTATCAAATGAAAGATAGTATATTTATGAGTATTGTATAATATATGCAAAAGCCTGTATTGCATCCATAAGAAAATTAGACTTGTGCATCTGTAACTCAGTTTTGAACTGTGAAGACCATTCTCAAAACTACCAAATACTAGCAAATTTACTTTTATGCAAATCATATATATATATATATATATATATATATATATATTTAAATGTAAAAAGTATTTGCCATGTGTCGCATACTATTCTGAGCACTTGATGTATTAATTCACTAATCCTCTCCACAACTCAGGTAGTACTTTTTTTTTTGAGAGATAGTACTATTATGTCCGTTATTTTAGAGAAAGAAATTGAGCACCTTGCCCAAGGTCACATAGTAATAAAATAAGCAAGATGCAAAGCTCAGAATCAGTAGTCTTCACCATGGCACCACACTGCTTAGAACTGAAGGGTGGGTTGAGCTGTAACTAGAAAGATAAGAGCATGGCTGCAAATCTGAAGTTGTCAACTCCGGTTTTTTTTAGTTGGAATTGGGTCACCTATAATTATCTGTATTTATCTAGAATTCTGAAATTAGATGTCTGTTTTAATTTGTTATACTTTTAAGGCAGTGGTAAATTATTGTAAATTACTATTCAGTATACAAGATCTTGCATAATCAAATTACTCTTTTCGTTAACCAAAATTTTAAGTTGCATTCCTAATGAGTGCAGCAGCCAAATTTGGTTGTTAACATAAAGTACTTTAGACACTTTGGGTTTCTTAAGCTGAGCATGTCATAAAACTGTGTTCTTAAGAGCAGAACTATAGATGATGATTTTGGACTTACAGAATTTCATGAAAATAACCTATTCAACAAAACAAAGCTTTCCATTCCCAGAGTTAACATAGCTTCTCCCCTGTATTTTTAACAATTTTCCATTTGTAACTGCATATAGATAAGTTACAGGAAAAATGTGCCTGGATCATATTTAGACTATACAGTTGCAGATTTAGTCCTTAACGTTCAGTTGTGTCCTTTAGCGAGCTATAGCTTTTTGAACATCCTAATTATAATGAAAGTAATGCACTGTTTCAACTTACTGTCTCAAATCCTGCTTAAAAAGTCATAAATCATCTGGGTACAGTTAATCCCAGCACTCTGGGAAGCCAAGGCTGGAAGCTTACTTGAACCCAGGAGTTCCAGACCAGAGTGGGTAACATAGTGAGACCTCCATCTCTACAAAAACTAAAACATTAGTTCGGTGTGGTGGTGTGCACCTGTGGTCCAGCTATTCAGGAGGCTGAGGCAGGAGGATCACTTGAACCCAGGAGTTGAAGGATGCAGGGAGTCATAGCACCACCGCATTCTAGCCTGAGTGACAGAGAAAGACCCACTTAAAAAAAAAAAAGTAATCTTTTGCATTAGCATTGTTCCTCTCCTCATTTTCCCACCTCTTTCCATCTGAGTCTTAGTTTGTGTGAATGTTTGCTTTGATGACCCTTGAATTTCTTACTGTTTAAATGTTTGTAGGCATTCACATATTAATAGGTATGCAGATGAATGCTTCTTTAGTTCAGCAATAGCTACATAATATACTATAGTTTTTTCCGTTTAGGTAATCACAAGTGAAGAAGCTGAAAGACGGGGACAGTTATATGACAATAAAGGAATCACATATCTCTTTGATCTGGACTATGAATCTGATGAATTCACAGTGGATGCAGCTCGATACGGCAATGTGTCTCATTTTGTGAATCACAGCGTAAGAAGACATACATAAACTTTAGACACGACTAACAATTCAACCTCGTACTGTTTTCCATAGCTAAAGATTGTCTTTAAGCTACATATCCTTTTAATTTTTCCAAAATATGTATTTTACAATGAGAGTAGCGTCTGTTAAGTTACGGTATTATTGCTGTATTAGGAAAATTAAACATTGAGGTTCCTACCAAATATTAATAGCACGTATTTTGCGAAAGTCTTTACATGTATTACTTCACTTAAACTTTGTATGGTAGGTATTATTTTTATATCACAATGAGCGGAGCAATTAAGAGGTGAAATGTCCAAGAATCACACACAACTTTGTTTCTTAATGGAAGTTAATACAACTAAATTTTAGGATGTACAACTAAAGGTAAATGTATTTTTTTAAAATGTAAATATGTTAACTTTTTATAAAATTTAAAGATTTGTAGAGTATGTAGGGTTATTTTTCTAAATTAGTATTCTTCTTACCTTTTAATGTTTGAAAGCACTTAGAATATAGCTGGAACTTAACTGCAGAATCCTGGACTCTATAAAAACTATTTCCAAAAATTAGGGAAGTTAATAACTGTGGGTTACCTACTAAGTTCCAAGTGGATAATACAATATTGGGCTTGTGAGGTTGACATTATCTTCATTTTGTAGATATTTTTTAGATAATAAGGAAAATGTGTCTCAGTAAGTTGTATAGCTGAACAGGAAGTAGACCACATTAAACTTCTGATGGATTTCGTAGTAAGAAATGAGTGTATGATTAGCAGAGACCTTCTGGTCCCTTGTTTTCTGATTAAACATAAAAGAATTTTTTTCTTAATGATAAATTTGAGATACTCTCAAAATAGAGAAATTCTATCCAAGGACCATTAAACAATTTTGATTTCTTAATATGACTCACTATATCTCTTTTCTTGCATATTAACAGTTTGGACCAAAAGTTTAAGCAGCTTAACTCCATGCAGTATAAAATTTGAGCTCTGTAGTCCAGATTTGATTTTTTAACACAGTTATTCTAGTTCTTTAAAGTATATGCCTTACTGAAATAGTTACAGGTGAAATAATAATATCTGGGATTTGCATTCAAATTCTCCAGGAAAAAAAAGTTGGGACTAGATGAATAAGACTAAGGCACTAAGTGTGTCATCCGAAGGTCCACAGCTTATCTGACAGCTAATAGTAGAGCCTAGGTCTTCTAATTGTTGAAGCTACAGAGTGGATACATAGGGATTTCTTATTTTCTCTATTTTATACTTGTCTCAGATTTTTCTAAGGGAAAACAATATTTTAAATGCACATGCCTCAAAGACCTCTAAGCAATAAGCAACTTAATTTCCAGTGGAACTTAAGCTAAATCTCTAGGAAAGTAAACATTTTATATGGCACGTAGAAGGATGTGTTCACATGGTTTTTACTTAAATGGGTTCTAATGTTCTTTTTTAGTGCGACCCAAATCTTCAGGTGTTCAATGTTTTCATTGATAACCTCGATACTCGTCTTCCCCGAATAGCATTGTTTTCCACGAGAACCATAAATGCTGGAGAAGAGCTGACTTTTGATTATCAAATGAAAGGTATGCTTCTCAAGTACAGTCTCATTGGTATAGTTTCAATATATGAACTAAATCAGACTAGGAAGAGACCTTAGATATCTGAACAAAACTAATATTAAAGATGAAAACTTGAGACACTACGTTTGTTATTGTAACGTCCAAAGCTAATCTGACAGCTAATACTAGAATGCAGGTCTGCCTTGGTTCTACATCGTGTTGCCTCCTTTTTTCAGAACTGCCATTTTGGAAACGGATTCATTTATTACACCATCTTTTCTTTATATTACTTACATATTTGTTTTTAATTGTGGGCTAAGCATGGTGGCTCCTGCCTGTAATCCCAGCACTTTCAGCTTGAGCCTAGGAATTCAAGACAAGCCTGGGCAACATGGCGAAACCCTGTTTCTACAAAATATGAAAAAACTAGCCAGATGTGGTGGCACGTGCCTGTAGTCCCAGCTACTTGGGAGGCTGAGGTGGGAAGATGGCTCGAGACAGGGAGGTTAAGGCTACAGTTGAGCCGTGATAGAATCACTGTTCTCTAGCACAGACAACAGAGACCCTGTCTCAAAAAAAAAAAAAAAAAAAAAGATAAGCCTACATTTTTAAATTTTTACTAAGAGATATAATTCAAAAGATTGAAAATGATTTAAATCACATAAAAATTTATTCTGTTCCTACTTGAACCTGGCTTTTAAAAAGAACATTTAATTCTCTGGTTTATTGTGACAGTATAAATGTTTTTTTTGTCTGAGAATGATGCCCTTTTACATATTGCTATGGCTTAACCTCTTACATACTATGCTCATATACTGTGTGAAATGAAGGTGTATTAGGTATTTCCAGTGAGTTTCATCATTTCAGAAATCCCTTCTCACAAATACAGGCTAACAACATAACCTTTACCTGTTATTAGCCCACACCATCCTTTCAAGACAATTCATTGTGATTTGACTCTGAATATTCACATTTATTTATAAATATTTCAAAGGGAACTAACTACATTTCCTTGGGAGTTAACTCACTCTAAGGGTCTTGAGCATGTAAGTACCCTCTAACACTAATAATAAAGCTAATATAATAGAAAATCTCAAATTCATTCTAAATAGTCTTAACTCTCTTTCTCCTGTATGTCTTTTTCTGTGTCTTCAGGTTATGGAGATCTATCTTCAGATTCTGTTGACCACAGCCCAGCCAAAAAGAGGGTCAGAACTGTATGTAAATGTGGAGCTGTGACTTGCAGAGGTTACCTCAACTGAATTTTCAGGAAATAGAGCTGATAATTATAATTTTATTTCCTAATGTTGACATTTTTAAAAATATGTATTTGGAACTCTTATCAAGATTATACCTATGTTAATTTACAATTCATGTTTCCAAACATTTGCCAAATGTATTACTGATTCCTCTGAAGAGAGGGTCACTGGGTCTCATAGACTGATTTGAAGTCTACATATTTAGTGCTTAGAGACCAAACTAATGGAAGGCAAACTATTTACAGCTCCGTTTATATGTACTTAAGTCTATGTGAACAGAGAAATGCCTCCCGCAGTGTTTGAAAGTGTTAAGCTGGTAATTTAATAATTGCTGAGAGATCAAACATTCAACTTGCCATACACCTCAAATTTGGAGAAGTAGAATTATTGGGCAAATTTACCAGTTCTGTTTTTGCTACTATATTGTCATTCCTGTTTTAATATTCACTGTACGTGTATTTGAGATAAATAGGTGATACTGAATTTTATACTCTATTTTCTACTTTTTCATTAAAATATTGGCATCTCAATGATACGGAAATTTAAGATATACAATTAAATGTAAAAATTAATTTCAGCTTCATTTCATATTTTGAAGCAATCTAGAGTGTTGTGAAGAGTGTACGTCTGAACCTGTAATTCTTAAAAGACTTCTTTATCTTCTAGAAGAAAAATCTCCAAAGAGCTCCCTCTACAAGTCCAGAATGGCTAGCTGTTACGCTTCTTTGAAAGGACAGGATAGTGGGACCAGGATGGTTTTTTGGAGTACCAAGCAAGGGAAATGAAGCACTGTAAGGGCGCTTCTTAGTAACATGAATTAGGAAATGTGTCCAGTACCTCTGGTCTAAACAGTAAAACAAGCTACCTGGAGAGCAGCTGTACCTAATAATACTGTGATGTACATTAACATTACATCCTCTCAATTTCAAGCAGGTGTAACAGTTCCTTTCCACCAGATTTAATTATTTTTATATTTCCTGCATGATGTTCTTAAAAAGTAGTCTATATTTTTGAACTGATACTTGTGTTATACATGAATTTTTTTTAGATGTGATAAAGCTAAACTTGGCCAAAGTATGTGCCTGAATTACGAGACCTTTTTATTAGTCAACCTATGAAGACTAAAATAGAATATGTTAGTTTTTAAGGGGGTGGGAGGGTTCCAGCATAGTGTTGAATCTCAATCAGGAAAAATCACACTTGTCTGAGATTTCTAATCGTGTTGTCAGAAGTGAAGATAAGTGCAGCAAATAAATCTAGCTTTCCAGTATTCCTAATTTTTACCTAAGCTCATTGCTCCAGGCTTTTTACCTCAAATAAGCTTGGGTAAAATTGAACCGACTTCAAGAATGCAGCACTTTATATAATCTTTACCTTTTTCTTGGGAGAAGCTAGACTTTATTCATTCTATTGCTATCACAACTATACTCTTTGTTTATGTGTTTGTAGCCTCAGAGTCTGCTAACCAAAACTGCAGAATGGGGGGGCTGGGCATGGTGGCTCACGCCTGTGATCTCAGCACTTTGGGAGGCTGAGGTGGGTGGATCACCTGAGGTCAGGAGTTTGAGACCAGCTTGGCCAACATGGTGAAACCCTGTCTTTGCTGAAAATACAAAAATTAGCCAGTCATGGTGGCCTGTATTCCCAAGCTACTGAGGAGGTTGAGGCAGGAGAATCACTTGAACCCAGGAGGCGGAGGTTGCAGTGAGCCAAGATCATGCCACTGTACTGCAGCGTTGGTGACAGAGTGAGAGTCTGTCTCAAAAAAAAAAATTTTTTTTGTAGAATGTGTCAAGAAAAAATACTTTCTTAATGGCATTTGTGTTTTATGAAAACTCAGTCACATAGTGTCCGTGTTAAGAGTCGCAGGTTTACAGGTTGTCCCCAGTGGGGACAAGAATACTTTGTGATTCTTACGGGTTTAAAGATGTGATTTTTAAAAAATCAGTGTTTTACCATGTAGTTATTTGATCTCCACTTTTTTGTGTTGAACAAAAGTGTAAAACTGGAAGGCAAAGAAAAAAGACTATTTTCAGTAAACATGTAGTTTTATTAATAGAATGTAATGGGCCCTTAAGATCTTAGGTACTTGAGTTATCTTTGTTATTCAGATGCTGAACTTAAGCAGTGAGAAAATAGAAACTAAAGGAAGTTATTAAAGGAATTAACTATTTAAAGTCAACATTTAGCTTATTCATCATACTGGTTTCTTGAAAATGACAATTTGTTTTCAGTGTAAGACAAATATCAAAGGTAATAGATCAACTGTAAAGTGTAAATCTACTGTACATATTATATCGATACCATCATTTTCAGGATCTACATAAAAGAGGATTGTGATAGATAATTTAGTAATCTCAGGCTTTTTTCTCCCATATCTGAAATTTAGACAATACTTGTTTCTCTTTTAGTTCATCAATTTCTCTTAGCAAAATAGGTTGGGCATTTGACATTCTATTTACCATGGCTTAGCTTTGTTTGTTTTAGAGTCATTTCCAGTAAGACTAAAAAGGGCAGAAAAATACTGATACAGTCCTCATTACCTGCTAAAAAGATTAGCCAAAGGTTTATAAACATTTCCTTTAAGTGTTACTTTCCTTTTTTTTTTTTTTTTTTACACAGAGTTTCACTCTTGTTGCCCAGGCTGGAGTGCAATGGCATGATCTGATCTGGCTCACTGCAACCTCTGCCTCCCAGGTTCAAGCGATTCTCCTGCCTCCCCAGTAGCTGGGATTACAGGTATGTGCCACCATACCTGGCTAATTTTGTATTTTTAGAAGTGACAGAGTTTCTCCATGTTGGTCTGGCTGGTCTTGAACTCCTGACCTCAGGTGATCTGCTTGCTTCAGCCTCCCAGAGTGCTGAGATTGCAAGCATGAACCACTGTACCCGGCCTTAAATGTTACTTTCCCTTTAAGATAGTTCATGGTTCATGCATTTGATATTACACTTGATCCTGGCTAAAAGGCCAAGGACTGATGGTTCATGCATTTGAAAATTAAAAGTACAATTTGACATTTAGCTAGCATAATGTGAATACTTCAGAAGTTCTTTAACACTCTCACTCACCAGATGTGTAAACATACTATGGTGAATACTGTCAGGAAATGCAAAGGAAGTTTAGAAGTCAGAGCTGATACTTACTGATGAAGTCTTCTGTGGCTTTTATATGTATTCATGTGCTTCTCGTGAACCTGTCAGGTTGGTGTTATCATCCCTATATTACTCCTAAGGTAAGAAGGTTAGCCTGGTAAGATAACTTGCCAAGATCACCCAGTGAATAGGCCATAAACTTTATTTTGAAACGGAGTCTCACTGTCACCTAGGCTGGAGTGCAGTGGCATGATCTCGGCTCACTACAACCTCCATCTCCCAGGTTCAAGCGATGCTCCTGCCTCAGCCTCCTGAGTAGCTGGGACTACAGGCACGTGTCACCATTCCTGGCTAATTTTTTTTATTTCGAGTAGAAATGGGGTTTCACTGTCTTAGTCAGGATGGTCTCAATCTCAAACATTTATTCCTGGAACTCCTCTCCAATGTAAATGTGGCTGACTGCCAAGTGTCTTTTGTTATATTGTTATTTTGAAACTTCAGTTTCGGTGGGGCACAGTGGCTCATGCCTGTAATCCCAGCACTTTGGGAGGCCAAGGTGGGTGCATCACCAGAGGTTAGGAGTTCCAGACCAGCCTGACAAATACGGTGAAACCCCGTCTCTACTACAAATAAAAAATTAGCCATGTTTGCTGGCACACACCTGTAATCCTAGCTACTGGGGAGGCTGAGGCGGGAAAATCACGTGAACCCAGGAGGCAGAGGTTGCAGTGAGCCAAGTTTGGGCCACTGCACTCCAGCTTGGGTGACAGAGACTCTGTCTCAAAAAAATTTTAAAAACAGAAACTTCATGTTTCCTCTTATAATTTATGATTCTTGAAGTAAAAAACCAAGTAGCGGCTAAAGTGAGTCCTGCTCATGTTTATACTCTTTTGGAGAGACAGTATAGCAGTTGAGAGCGTGGATTCCGAAGCCCAACTGCCTGTGTTTGAATTTTGCCTGTGCCTCAGTTATGTGAACTAACCTCTATGCCTTCATCTCCTCATTTGGACATGGGGATTAGAAATGTATCTACCTCAAAGGGTGGTTGTGAATATATATAGTATGTAAAAAAAGAGCATGATCAGGGTAAGCACCAAATATAATTTCTGGTAATTAGTATCAGTTTCTTGATCAAGTCTGTTACAGTGTTTTAGCCCTTAAATTCATTCAGCCAGCATTTATAATGGCCACTCACATGTAAAACAGTAAACATGTAACATTATGTAAGAATATGATTATAAAATAACAGGAATATATTCAGAGGAATGTTTACAGGCATTTTTTTGAACACCCACTTTGGATCATAAGGTACACTGTTAAAACTAAGTCTTAATTATCAGTGAATATATACAAATATGTCAGCTATGTCTTAGCTCTGAGTCTTAATTGTTACCCTACTTAGTCTGGTAGCTCCAATACTTCTTTTTGGTCTGATTACTGTGCAGCATCATAACACATCTCAAGTGTTAGTTTACTGATCTACAAACTGTGTTAAGTGATGTCTCTGCTTTTGCATCCATAATCTGTGAAATGTCAGAATACCAGTGTTCATGAATATTTCTTAAAACTTGTTAATCTCCTCATATGTAACACAAAAGCCTAACCTATTGATGGACTTCAAGGATGTTGAGTGACACAGAACACACATATGCTTTAGTATTTTAAATTTTTTTTCTTGAGACGGGATCTTGCTTTGTTGTCCAGGCTGGGCACAATCAGCTCACAGCAGTTTCAACCTCCTGGGCTCAATCGATCCTCTCACCTAAACCTTCCAGATAGCTAGGACTGCAGGTGCACACCACCATGCCTGGCTAACATTTTGTAGAGACAGGGTCTCCCTGTATCGCCCAGACGGGACTCAAAACCCTGAGCTCAAATAAGCCTCCCAAAGTACTGGGATTGCAGGCATGAGCTACTGTGCCTGGCCACCATTTCATTCTTGAGCATTTTCTTTTATATCCTAATTGTCTACTTTTAATTTTACCACCATATTCACATCAAGGTTGAGTGATTTAACATCTTTGGTGATAAATAAGGTGCTGATTTGGTCTATAGCCGTCAGTTTATCATAATAGATCCAAGGTAAATTCTGTCAAAGATAATGGTCTGTCATGCTGAATGTTCCATGTGTACTTCAGGAGATATATTCTGCTCTTTTGGGGTGAACTGTTATATAAATGTCAATTTAATCCAGTCAGTTTATGGTGATGTTCAGGTCTATTTTCCTATTGATGCACTGTACATATACTAGTTGTTACTAAGGAGGGATGTTAATCCCTAACTGTAATTGTATATTAGTTTATCTTTTCAGTTGTTTTAGCTTCATAAATGCTTGGAGCTGCTGTTAGGTGCATGTACATATAGGATTATTTTGTCTTCTTGGTGAATTAGACCTTTTATAATTAGGAAATTGTCCATTATATAGTCCCTCCATCTTTGTTTACATGGTCTTTTTTCCATCCTGTTAACCTACCTATATCACTTAAATCGAGTTTCTTTATAGTTGGCAGATCATTGGGTTATGTTTTTTCCCTGTGTCTCTCTTGTCATTGATGTGCTTAGACCATTTACATTTAATATAATAATTGATATGTATGGGTTTAGTTCTACCATCTTACTTGCTTTTTTTTTTTTTCTCTTTGAGACAGAGTTTCACTCTTGTTGCCCAGGCTGGAGTGCAGTGGCACATTCTTGGCTCACTGCAACCTCCCAGATTCAAGTGATTCTCCTGCCTCAGCCTCCCGAGTAGCTGGGATTACAGGCACCATCACACTGTTTTGTTTTTGTTTTCATTTTCAGTAGAAACAGGGTTTTAACCATATTGGTCAGGCTGCTCTTGAACTCTGACATCAGATGAGCCACCCGCCTCATCCTCCCAAAGTGCTGGGATTAAAGGCACGAGCCACTGCGCCCAGCCTTTTCCTTTTTTAAAACAGGATCATGCTCTGTCACCCAGGCTGGAGTGCAGTGGCACAATCATGGCTCACTGCAGCCTCTATCTCCTGGGCTCAAGTGATCGTCCCACCTTAGCCTCCTGAGTAGTCCACCACGCCTAGCTTTTTTTACTTTTTTGTAAGTAGAGACACATCTCACTGTGTTGGAAAGGCTGGTCTCGAACTCCTGAGCTCAAGTGATCGCCTACTTCAGCTTCCCAAAGTGCTGGGATTACAGGTATGAGCCACCATACCCAGCCAGGTTATTTGAACATTTTTAAGTATTACATTTTCTCTATTGTAATATTGACCGTCATCTCTCTGCAGGTTTTTTAGTGGTTGCTCTAGGTTGAAGCACTTTGAATTATTAAATATCTAAGAGTGAGCATTTTCTTTTTTTGACTACTATACTCTCACCAGTTGCCAGCTTCTCATATAAATATTGTAAATGCTCTCGTTTAGGTAGCTCAGCTTCTGGAGTTGAGGGAACTTCAAAATCAGAAGAGCTCTGGGAATCTACATTTGTGCTAAGATTTAGCAAACTTTTTTCCTCAGGTATGTGTTTCTCCATGCTTACAGTAGTTGGTTCTCCAGGACTAGGAACTATTGTTACATCTTGATCTCTGCTCTTCAAATCAGAACAAGTATCCTTTGGGCAAATTACATTTTGATCCGTGAGAGAGGAAGGAATCTTCTCTTTGACTGTTGGTCTGTAGTCATCTTTGTCCAAGGAAGTAATAGCCCCACTGTTTCTCTCTTGGGAAGATAGCAAAACAGTATCAGACTGGCTGTCCCAGCCTTGACTTCCTTGTTCTGTTATGTGTGTTGACTGGGAAGAATTCTGGGAGGAGATGTAGGTTGATTCTCCATCAGAGTCACTGAAAAGCTTTGGTGACTGAGATCCCCCTGCCTCTAAGGAAGAAGGGAAGTTTTCCAAACTCTCATCTGTGATTTCATCATTTCTTTTAAAGAATACTTCCCACTGGGGTACATCCCCATCAGCCTTTTGCTGGTGAAGTACAGAGCCCTGATCTCCTGGCAGTGAAGCTGGGATTTCTAATTCTTCTTCACTTTCACTGTTGGATTCTTCACAATCTACAAAGTTTGTGAAACGAGAGCTCTGCATGCTCTCTGCTCTGCAGCATCCTGGGCTTTGTCTCTGTTTTTCAGGCTGGTTTTCTGATGCTGCAGTCATTGAAAATGCTTCAGGGTGAAAGTTTTTCTGGTATGAAACCTTGTGTCTTAAAGGTATTGGCAGAGGATAATCAAAGAGATCATCATCTTCCTCCTCTGTGGGACAAACAAAACAGGTTTATAGGAAACAAGGCAAAGGGAACCAGTTTGTAGCATTTACCTACATTTTTAATTCTTAGAATTGCAAGGAATAGGGAAGCCACTCTTCAAAGGGAAAATACCTTCTTGGGAGATGCTGAACCATTTAGCTACCATCCTTCAACTTTTTATAATGCCAGACTAGTAGTGGAGAATATAGAGCAGTCACTCTATATATAAAGCCTGGCTGATCATTACAATCATATGCAAAACTTTTTTTAAAAAAAACACACAGGCTTCTCTCTATCTTATTCTAGACCTACTGAATCCCTGAAGAAGATATCTTGGACCAAATAATTTGATTTTTAAGTTCTACAGCTGATTTCTGTTCATCAGCCAGGTTTGCAAAGCCTGTGTGCTCTGCAAATAGATGCTCAGTGAGCTGGCTGACTTAGGAAAATTAAACTGCTTTTTATTGAGGTTTTTCTTCTGTGAGCATCTTATTGACATCTGTTTTGTGCACAAGGTTGCAACAGACGCTGGGGAAACACAAGTTAAATCAACTTTAAAGCAAAATACTGAAAAATCAACATTATGTGCCAAGAACTTAAAATACAAAATTCATTCTCCTGATTTTTAAGTATTCTTAAAATGAAAAAACCTTACTTGGAAAAACAAATATTTTCCCATCTTCTAATGATACCTAAGGAGGAAATTAAATGCACCCGAGACTACTGTGTGTGGCCACTTTTGTTCAGCTGCTGAAGTTGGTGTTATAATAATCCACTTAAATGATATGGCAAGGCACTAATATAACAGACCATAGAGACCATCATAGTTCCCACATTTCCAATGTGAAGCTAGGCCCAGAGAAGGGGTCTGCCAATACACGGTTCCAGCCTCATTTTTAAAAGTCCAGTGTTTGTTAGGGCTTGGAACTGATGTTAGGACTTACTTACGGTGACTAAGATAGCTAACGACTGTATTTGGAATCCCTAGAATGCAAGATACAGCTTTACTTTAAGCCAAGGATAATATGTATGTTTTAGGTCCCTCACTATGCCAAAGTCATTATGTTTTTTGCATAGTCACAGCTCCCTGCAGCCTCCACCTCCTGGGCTGAGGAGATCCACCCACCATGCCCAGCTAATTTTTTATAGAGACAGTGTTTCCCTTTGTTGCCCAGGCTGGTCTTGAACTCCTGTGCTCAAGCAATCCACCCACCTTGGCCTCCCAAAGTGCTGGAATTATAGGCATAAGTCACTTTGCCTGGCCCAAAATTATCTTTTTATGATAAGTTGAACAGTTCTCTGTTCAAAATCAGTGACTATGCCTGATCTCCCCAAAAAAATCATCAAAAACAAATGGATAGATTTGTGGATTGAATAGATGCATAAAAGGCACAAAAGATTAAAGGAAGAAAGGACTTTTGCTTCCAGGTAAGATGGAGTAGCAAGGACTAGATTTAGTCTCCCACTTGAAGTAACTACAAATCAGAAACTAGGAAAAATTGCCTCTCAAGAAAACGGACATCAAGCAATAAAGGACAATGACATGTGAGAAATAATACACAGATGAGTCCTATGACTGCCTGACTCACTGCTTCATAACAGATTCCAGTCAAGAAGGGGACATCTGGATAGAGCTCTTGGACATCCTGAATTGAGGGGATGGAACTGGGACGCTGAAGAAATCAAGGTGCCTAGAGTTTACAGAGCAGAAGATCAGAGAGAAGAGTGCTACACAGAAACTTGGAAAAGCTGCAGAGGAGTCCCCACCAAGTGTTCAGTGCACTGAGCAGCAGCATGTGCTTGTAAGGAAACTACCTAAAGCCAGGCAAGGAATCACTCAAAAGGAAAAAGTGCCCAGAACTCACAGTGCCAGGAACTGCCTGCTCCTGGTCCCAACAGCCAGAGTGGAAAACCTCAAGAACTATGGGCATTTGTAAGAGAACCAAGAAGAGCCTTGCCTCAGTAGTGGGGAAAATCTACCGTCAACTAAATGCTGCTCTCGTCTTGTATAACAAAGGTAAGACACAAAAAGGGCAAACTATAAACAAACCTCAAGAATGTTTCTAGAAACTCAAAATTATACAGGTCCTAAAAAGGCAAACTTCAGAAAGTATGGCATTTAAAATGTTATAAGAAATGCAAGCAGCAGGAAAATACAATCAAAAGTGGCCCAGAAATTATGTAACATGGGAGTCAATTTTCATTATCTTGGCTCAAACAATAGTTTCTTAGATGTGACACCAAAGCGTAAGCAATAATAGAAAAAAATAGACACATTGGACTTAAAACCTTTACACTTAAAGATACCATCAGAGTGAAAAGACAAGTCTGGAGAAAATATTTCCTAATCATATCAGATAAAGTACAGATACCAGACTATTTAAATAACTCTTACAACTCAATAAGAAGTTCAGTAATCCAGTTAAAATAGGGGCAAGATATCTGAATAGACATTTCACCAAAGAAGTTATATAAATGGCCAATAAGTGCATGAACAAAAGCTCAACAACCTTAGCCATTAGAGAAATGCAAATCAACACTGTAAGTTACCACCGTACACACCTAGGATGGCTATACTCAAAACGACAGAAAAAAAAAAAGTGTTAGTATGTGAAGGAAGTGGAAATTGCTGGACAGAATGTAAACTGCATTCAGTTTGGAAACGTTTGCCAGTTCCTTGAAGTGTTAAAACAGTTTGATCGTATGTTATGAACTGAACGCTTCCTGTCAAAATTCGTATGTGGAAGCCCTAAATCCAGTGTGGCTGTTATCTGGAGATAACAAAAGTCTGAAATCTGGACTGCTCCAAAATCCAAAACTGAGTGCCAGTATGACATTCAAAGGAAATCCTTATTGAAGCATTTTAGATTTTCTAATTAAAGAGGCTCAATCATTAAATATAAATGCAAATGTTCCAAAATTCAAAAAAGTCCAAAATCCAAAACACTTCTGGTCCCAAGCATTTTGGATAAGGGACACTAAATCTATATTTCTATATACTAACAACAATCAATCACCAATTAGAACTTAAAAAATAATACCATGTGCAACATTATCCCCAAAAATGAAATATTTAGGGATTGATTTACACACACCTATACACTGAAAATCATAAAACATTGCTGAAAGAAATTAAAGAAGACTTAAAATGAGAGGTTTACCATGTTCACGGATCTGAAAATTCAATGTTAAGATGCCAGTTCTTCCCAAAGAACTCTCATCAAAATCCCAGGAGAGGATATTTTGTACAAATTGGTATGATACGATTCTAAAATTCATATGGAGATGCAGAGGACCCAGGATAACCAAAACAACTTTGAAAATGAACAAACTACATCCACAGGTGAATGGATCAGCAACTTGCAGTATACCCCTTTAGTGGACTACTACTCATCAATACAAGAGAGTAAACTGTTGATACATAGTGCAACATGAATGAATCTCTGATGTGTTGAGTAAAATAAGCCAGACATATTATATGCTTCGATTTATGTAAAATTTTAGAACATGCAAACTATAGTGACAGAATGTAGATCATGGCTGCCTTGGCATGGATGAGAATTACAAAGTGGCATAAGGAATCTTGAGGGTGACAGTATCTTAATTGTAGTCATGGTTTCTCAAGTGTAAGAATATGCAAAAAATTTATCACATTGTACACCTTAAATGTGCAATTTATGTATATCAATTATACCTCAGGAAAGCTGTTTTTCAAAAAAAGTAAGTTTGTAAAGATTAGAGGATGCACTATATAATAGTATTAACATTTGAAATTAATGTAACTGTTTTTCTAAAACCTATTAACTATTGAAACAAAAACAAATACGCTTTCTTTCAGGCACTGGTAATAGCCTTATTGTATCAATCCTGGAATTGTCATGTAAATGTTTTTAAATTAGATTCTCAATGAGCAGAAATGCAGAAGCAGAGATGGAGAGACAGGCCTCTACATTAGAATCCCAGCCCCATCACTTACTTCCTGCTAGTCCTTGAGGACTTACGTCTCTAAACTTCAGTTTCCTCATTGTTAGAATTGGGATGGTACCCCTGGTAAGTTTGTTTAGAGGTTTAGCTATAACATACGTAAAGGATCTAGCGCAATACCTGCCATTAATAGGTGTTCAAAAAATAGTATCGTGTGTTTTTGTCAAGTATTCACTGTACGGCAGAGTAACTGACTCTGCACCAAAGGAATGAAAATCAAGAATCCTAACCACGAAATATGGCTGCTGGAAAGCAGCAGAGCTTTGCTCAGAATCTAACACTCTGATTTCTACTGCAGAGTTTACCTCTGTCCTTCACTAGAAAAATGAAAATACCAGTGAAAAAAGGTACAATGTATAGAGAAATTCCATCAGTATAAACACTGCTGATCAACTTGATAAAAAATGATGAAAAGTTTCCATTGTCAGCATTTACGAGTATCTTAGAAAATGTTCAAAGAAGTGGCCGGGCGCGGTGGCTCAAGCCTGTAATCCCAGCACTTTGGGAGGCCGAGGCGGGTGGATCACGAGGTCAAGAGATCAAGACCATCCTGGTCAACACGGTGAAACCCCGTCTCTACTAAAACTACAAAAAATTAGCTGGGCGTGGTGGCGCGTGCCTGTAATCCCAGCTACTCAGGAGGCTGAGGCAGGAGAATTGCCTGAACCCAGGAGGCGGAGGTTGCGGTGAGCCGAGATCGCGCCATTGCACTCCAGCCTGGGTAACAAGAGCGAAACTCCGTCTCAAAAAAAAAAAAAAAAAAAGAAAATGTTCAAAGATAACAAACCAGCCACTCTATGGCCTCTACTAGTCTTAGGGCGTATTGCTAGAAAGCTGAGACCACACCACATGACGACAGTCTCTACCACTTGTTTTGAATCAGGGAGGGAGAGCAGGCTTTTGATTTTACAGGCTGAAGACAGGAAGGCAAAGTACTTCCTGAGACTATGTGACAAGTCTGGCTTGTGGTGAGTCCCAGGTCCACTGTGTGTCCAAGGCCCGAGCTCTCTGGAAAGCAGTGTTTGCCAGAAGCCCAAGCCTCTGAACCCAGGACCATTTTTTCTTACCTGAGTCTCGGTGGACTGTTCTAGCTCTCTTCAGTTTTCCCAGTGGTTTATACTGTGGCTCCATACTTTGGGAAGACCGGCATAAAGGCTTTAAGCTGAAATGAATCAGAATATTTGATTTTTCCTTTTGGGGAAGCTGTTAGATGTTAAGCATCATTGATAGTACAAAAATTTTTTTATTTTTTGTTTTTTAATTTCTTGGATCCCCATGTTTTTAACAAAATCTTGACTATAAGGGAAATGACACAGCCATTTTGAGGATTGAAAAGCAATTCTAAACTGATTTCATAGTTAAAAATCACTTCAACTTAATAAAGTGATAAATATAAGCACTTCAATGCAACCTGGTAGATGCTTATCTTATTGTTACATCTTTAGTAGACTAAAGCAAAACTTGGATCTTTGCTCCTGCATTGCAAAAAAGCAGGTCTCTATCCTGAAAACCTGTTAATACAGTGACATCCTTTGGCATTTGGGATACAGTATAACTACATGCTCCCCTTCGCTGTTTCAGTAGGGCCCACTTATATTTCACAGAAATGTCCACAGATTTATCTCATCATTCCAGGTCCTTAGGCTGACAACTAAGACACAGTAGAGGTAAAATAACAAAAAGGCAGAGAAATAAGATTTGAAGGTGTCCTACCCCTTTCGAAGACCTCACTGCCAACTGCCTCCTCCTCCTGGCAGATTCCTGGAAGCCTTTAGGATGATCTACAACATACCATATGAACAGGGCCATGAAGTGCCCAACCTGAAACTTATTTACAGCCACCCTCATTTTATATCCTCACTCCTGTTCCCACAGCTGTTCTTTGGATCCATCCCTTCAACCCTTCCAGGAGTTCTGATCCATTACTGTGTCTCTTTACAGTCGTTGCAGCTATTCTCCTGGGATAACTTTTCAAAGTAAGGTCATCTTCCCCCACCTACCTAGAACAGAATTGTGTGCCAGAAATGCAGTATGGGGGCAGGGCGCAGTGGCTCACATCTGTAATCCCAGCACTTTGGAAGGCTGAAACTGGTGGATCATTTGAGGTTAGGAGTTCAAGACCAGCCTGGCCAACATGGTGAGACCCCCATCTCTACTAAAAATACAAAATTTAGCCAGATGTGGTGGGTTCCAGTAATCCCGGCTACTCAAGGCTGAGGCAGGAGAATCGCTGGAACCAGGGAGGTGGAGGTTGCAGTGAGCTGAGGTCGCACCACTGCACTCCAGCCTGAGTAACAGAGCCAGACTGTGTCTCAAAAAAAATACAGCAGGATGGGGGAATATGCATTTTAACGAGCACCTCAAGTGATTGCTAAGCACATCAAAGTTTATGTGTATTCAAGTTTAGTTCCACAGGCATATTTAAGTCCTAGCTATTTTAAGATCAAGCCTCCCATTTCTGTTGCCTCTGTTGCCATCTTGTCTCTAACTTTCCCTTCGCTGTCAAACTTTTTCTATAGCCTGTCCTCAGTATTTTCCATTTCCTCACTTTTTACCCATTTCTCAACTGAAATCTGGCTTGTAACTCCCAGGTTTACTAAAATTGCCCTCACTGAGCACACACAAATGACCTAATGACCAAGGTAACGGGATAACTGGTAGTCCCCATATTATGTGACTTCTCAAGACACTGCCATGGGTACCTTCTGCTTACCCTTTCCTTTGCTCTCATCCTGCTGTCTGGGCCACTCTCTCCATCTTGGCCCAGCTCCTCCTCCTTTGCTCCTCCCTTAAATGTGCTGCCCAGGGTTTTGGCCTCAGCTCTGTGATCCCTCCTTTCACTCCTTGTGACTTCCTCTGTCCTCATGGTTTCAGTTCTCACCTGTACTGCCAACTCCAAATCTGTGGTTCCAACCTAGAACTCTCTCCAGAGTTCCTCCATCCTCCTTTCCATCGACATCTGCAAGCCTGGTCCTGTGTGTCCCCATCAGGATCTGCAAGGCAGACTCCCTGACATGGGGCCTCATTCCTTCCTGCATCCATTGCAGGCTGTGTGCAGCATGCCTGCCTTTGCACTCGACCTCTCCACGAGACCGGAGCTGTGCTAGGACAGGGTATGTCTTAGGCAACTTGGATCCCAAGCTCCATGCCCACCATATGGCTGGCACTAAAGAAATCATTGATGGGCCAGGTGCAGTGGCTCATGCCTGTAATCCCAACACTTTGGGAGTGTTGATCACTTGAGTTCAGGAGTTCCAGACCAGCCTAGCCAACATGGTAAAACCCCATCTCTCCTAAAAATACAAAAATTAGCCAAGTGTGGTGGCACACACCTGTAGTCCCAGCTACTTGGGAAAATGAGGCAGGAGAATTGCTTGAACCTAGGAGGTGGAGGTTACAGTGAGCAGAGATCACCCCACTGTACTCCAGCCTGGGTGAGAGAGAGAGACCCTGTTTCAAAAACCAAAACAAAACCGTTCATGAATGAATAAATGAAACCCAAGGAAGAGGTGAGAAAATGGTAACGCTGTAATAAAAGATATCCATAATGCTATTGCACCTCTCCTTTGGCTTTCAGTTATCCATTCAGTAGACACCTGATCATCTACTTGGTGTGCTGCTAGGTGCTTTTCTTATTTCCCTCTATTATCTCTTTCGTTTTTGAGAAGCCCAACAAGTAGACACCAATATTCCCATTTTGCTGATTCAAAAGGACTAGCTCAGAGAAGTGATCTGGCCACGTTCCCGTGGCACTGTTGGTAAATGGCAGAGCTGGGTTGCGACCCAGGAGAAGCTGACGACACTACCTATACCTTCTGCCACAATGTGAACTAAAGGAAACACTACAGGAAGAAATGGAAATAAGTATCAGTTCAGAAATGTCCCAACAAACAGATTCTAGATTTGTAAACATTCAGGCAAACTCTCCTTTGTGTCCTAGCCAAGAGCTACAAAGGGAGACACACAAGTCCCACGAGCAATGAATACTCACATTTCGACAACTTTATCCATAGTTGTGCCAACTGGAATGACATTTGGATAAGCATTCACAGGGCAGATGTAGCTCAAGAAATCTTTAATCTAGAAAAAGGAAAATCCCATGGATCAACAATCTCTACAATGATAAAGTGGGTTGTTAGGGGAGATAACGGGAGGCTGGGGAAAGAGAAGCAGAACTCTTACGGCTGTGGTTCTCAGCACTGGCTGCATGTGGGGTCACCAGGGACCTCTTGGGGGAAAAAAAGTACCCAATTCCCAGGCCTTACTTCCAAAGATCTCTTGAACACTGAATGCTTAGTGGCCTTAGAAATCAGTAAATTTAAATGTTCCCCAGGTGATTTTGATCCACAGTAAGCGCTGAGAATCACTAATGGGACACAAAGATTCTGTATTTTTTTTTTCCAGTATATTGCTTTCCTTTCCAAGAGGGTCAGCTGCTTATGTTTAACAAATCCCCTTTCAAATGAGTTAGAATTTAGCTGGGCATTAACTATAATATAAACAAAAAACAAGGTCTTAGAATTGCATTTCTTAGCTGGGCACAGTGGTACGTGTCTAGTTCCAGCTTCTCAAGGCTGAGGCAGTAGGATTGCTTAAGCCCAGGGATTTGAGGCCAGCCTGGGCAACACAGACCCCATCTCTAAAAAAGAACAACAAAAGAATTGCACTTATTTCCTCCTACAAATAATCATTAAAGATGCCAAGAGAATTACACCTTTGAGGTTCCTGATTCGTTCAAATGGTTCATTCTTACTGGGCACAACACCAGGCATTGGTCACCAATCCCAGTGAAGGATCCAAACACTGCTCACTGTTATCTTGGTATCAGAGTCACCAAGGAAAACACAGTGCAGTCATGCACTGAAACAGTGCTTCACTTTACTGAGAACAGACCAAACAAGATCAAGTCCAACAATGTGCACTGGTCCCCAGTGACCAGCGCGTCCCTCCCTGCAACCAACATAGGGCACCCTGCTTACAAGCACCCTTATCCTGTCACACAGGAAGGAACCCACACCATGCTGTCTGAAATACAGACAGCTGAGGTGTGCCTAAGGGCCACTGACACACAGGCTTAAGCAGAACAAAGGAACACACATCAAGTATGAAGCAGAGAAAGATGTTTCCACATAAGGCACTGAGCTGCCGCAGGCTGTGTGCTCGCCCACTTCTCTGGCTCTCTCAGTAAGGAGCTGTTCCATTCTTATGTGGCCAGTGGGGGTTCAAAGGCTGCATGTAGACTTTCTCTCCCAGTGATTAAACAAACAATTACATGCAAAACCTTCATGAATACCTTGATTTTCTGCAAAGTTCAGAATGCTAAACAGAGGAACTCTCTATTCCTCAACATGTCTCTACAACCTAGAGGAACTTCAGCTTTGTCTCTTATTAGACCTTGGTGAGCCTGTGATCTCAGTCAAGTTACCCAATGTCTCTAATCTTAGATTCTTCATTTAAAAGTATAAATGAGATTACACATGTAAAGTGCTTAGCTTGGTACCTGGTGAAACAGTCAATAAAATCGTACATTACTAAGTTGATAATGAGAACACGAAGACTTTTATCCCCTTCTGCAAATGGAAAGGCAAACTAGGACCCAATGTAATTATTAGTATCCCACCGAAGTGAAAGACGCAGGAACTGAAGAACTGCCAATAACTCTACATAAAAATAAAAGGGCTACTTTAAGACGGGAAAAGCAGGAAGATCTACTCTTTAGATATTTCTCATAATATCTTTTGTACCTTCAGAGCAGGCATGCAAATAAAAGCCATTATCTGCCTGCCCAACACCTGTTTGATTTGCACAAAGTTGAGGCTAGTAGAAATCTGAGACTTTTGAAGAGAGTAAAGGATAAAATAAGTAAAATCAAGCCTATACCAGAAATGGTTCACTACTACTTTTCAGAGATGAAGTGGCCCCAAGGAGATAAGAGACACATTAAAGGAGCACCCCGCTAACTTACACAAGTTGACTCCCTTTTATCAAATGCCTGCCTTAAAATGAGGTATCAATACAGCGAATTCTCTTTATTCACAGTAGTTACACTATAAAGTCTCCATAAATAGTGAATTAGCAAATACTGAACCATTGCTGCTGGGGAAAATACAGGGTTCCTGCCAGCTTTTGTTGACATCGTTTTCATCAGCCAATTAATATATAACCTTGTTTTATGTGTGTTTCTGTTGAAAGATACCTCATTTAACATATACTTCGGTTCATTAACTTTGAACTCATGGCCAGTAGCCCGATAACTCATGCCTATCTAACATACATATTTCCTCTAGAAGGCACGTGACAGTCTTTCCACATTTAGGAACACTGGATAGAACTTCAGTGTAATGCTTAGTCACCATTTTATATAAGATCACCAACAAAAAGCACAAAAATATGAAAAACATGGCACTTAAAAGATGACAAAAAGGACACTTTTTTTTGAGATGGAATTTCACTCTCGTTGTCCAGGCTGGAGGGCAATGGCATGATCTTGGCTCACCACAACCTCCGCCTTCTGGGTTCAAGCGATTCTCCTGCCTCAGCCTCCCAAGTAGCTGGGATTATAGGCGTATGCCACCACACTCAGCTAATTTTGTATTTTTAGTAGAGATGGGGTTTCTCCATGTTGGTCAGGCTGGTCACAAACTCCTGACCTCAGGTGATCTGCCCGCCTCAGCCTCCCAAAGTGCTGGGATTACAGGCGTGAGCCACTGCACCCAGCCAAAAAGGATACTTTCGATACGGTATGGCTGTGCCCCCAGCCAAATCTCATCTTGAACTGTAGTTTTCATCATCCTCATGTCATAGGAGGGACCCGTTGGGAGGTAACTGAATCATAGGGGCTGCTACCTCCATAAAGTTCTAATGATAGGGAGTTCTGATGACTTTTTAAGGGGCTTTCCCCCACCTTTGCTCTGCATTTCTCCTTGCTTCCAGCATGTGAAGAAGGATGTGTTTGCTATTATTGTAAATTTCCTGAGGCTTCCACAGCCCTGCAGAACTGTGAATCAATTAAACCTCTTTCCTTTATAAATTACCCAGTCTTAGGTGTCTTTAGAGCAGCAGGAGAACAGACTAATACACTTGTTGACAGAATGAGAGCTCAAAGAAAAAGGCAGAGAGTTGCCTTGTTCGACCTCAACTGGGAATGTGTGCATCAGGTGACTCAAATTTTTTACCACTCTCCACGTGTCCACAAATGATCACAAAAGCACTATAAATATTGATACTGGGGTTACAGGTCAGTTTCAGTGAGTAGGCCAACACATAAAAATGGACTCCATGAAGCCAGGTGCAGTGGCTTATGCCTGTAATCCCAGCACTTTGGGAGGCCAACATGGGCGGATTACCTGAGGTTAGGATTTCAAAACCAGCCTGGCCAACATGGTGAAACCCTGTCTCTGATAAAACTATAAAACTTTTAGCTAGGCATGGTGGTGGGTGCCTGTAGTCCCAACTACTCAGGAGGCTGAGGCAGGAGAATCACTTGAACCTAGGAGGCAGGGGTTGCAGTGAGCAGAGATCACACCACTGCACTCCAGCCTGGGTGACAGACTGAAACATCGTCTGGGGGAGGGTGGGGGGGGACAGAATCCATGAATAAGGAGGATCAACTACATTTAGGGAAAAAAACTAAAAGGAAATGAAACTTACATAGAAACAGATGCTTCTGAGGGTCAGGGGACTACTGTCAACCACCAAGGCTGCAGAACACTGAACAGTAAGGGTTATGAGTACATGGGATCCTCTTACCTCACTGTAGGAGGAGTGAAAAGAAAAACAAGCTCTGTAGGAACTCTCTCCAGTCCTAAAGGGAAATGAAAACAAAGTAAAAAGATCACTGCACAAAACTAAACCAAGTTCTAAACTTTCACCCTTCTCATTTAGGCTATTCTAGCATGAAACCACCCTAATGGGCTCGCTTCGGGAGCACATATCCTGAAATCTCCCTAAATCAGGAATTTCTTCTTGGGATAGCAGGAACTTTTTCCAGATGTGGAAACCTGTTGTAGACCAGGCGCAGTGGCTCACGCCTGTGAACCCAGCACTTTGGGAGGCCGAGGTGGGCTGATTGCCTGAGCTCAGGAGTTCAAGACCAGCCTGGCCAACATGGTGAAACTCTGTCTCTACTGAAAATACAAAAAGTTAGCCAGGCATGGTGGTAGCACACGCCTGTACTCCCAGCTACTAAGGAGGCTGAGGCAGGAGAATTGCTTGAACCGGGAGGTGGAGGTTCTAGCGAGCTGAGATTGTGCCACTTCACTCCAGCCTGAGCGACAGTGAGACTCTGTCTCCAAAAAGAACAACAGAAGAAAGAAAGAAGAGGGAGGAAGGGTCGGAGGAACCTGCTGCCAACATTCTGAACGGCCACAGTTAAGGAAACGTTGCTAAAATATTGTGATCGTTATAGCCACTCCTCTACTTCACCAAGGGTTCTGTTCTCTATGACATCAGTTTCTTACTCTTAGCCAGGAACTCAGATGCCCTCAGTCTCCAACCATCTCATCAGCCTACCTAGAGGGAACCTCAGTAATATACCAGCTGATGGGAATGCAACTGGTTTAGAAGTAGCATCTCCTCAGTTTAAAGTTTTAATTTAAGAAATTAATTATAATAATTATATTCTTAGGCTTAGGCTAGACCGTGCCTAAATGAAATAAAATCAGACAGTTTACTCAAAACAAAGTTTATCTCAGAAAACCTATGACATTGGTTTCTTACCTCACAATTACATTTGTTTTTCTGGTTCTTTCTCCAAACCACATGGTAGATGGCTTAATGCTAATTGTGTGGAGCGGAATTCTATTTTTGGAAGTAATTCCACAGGGTAATTTGTTCCACTGAAAATATTCCTCTGCCTAAAAAAGATTTTAAAAACACAGAAAAACAGTTCTATATTTTCTACAAATCTGTTGTATGCGGAGTCTCAAAAGTCTAAAAGTTTCCAGACATGAAAAAAAACAACACAGACATGAAGAAACAATGAGATAATTCCAAATTGGGGACTATTCTGTAAAACAACTGGACTGGACTCATCAAAACCATCAATGTGAGGACAAAGAAGCAGAAGGTTCTACCCTTTAGGCCTGACTGACTGACTGCAATGCGTGACCCTCAAATAAATCCTGGATGCCCCTGTTCCCCTATTTCCACAGGCTATGGGAAGAACTGGAGAAGTGTGAGCATGGACTGCGTGCCAGCTACCAGTACTGTATAACACTGAATTTCCTGAGTAAGGGAACTGTATTATGGTCTTACGGGAGAATGTTCTTATTCTCAAGAGACATAGACTGAAGGATTTGGCATGAAGTACCATGGAGTCTATAACTTTACTCTCAAATGGTCTGGAGTGGAGAGACGGTTCTACAAACAGAGAAAGGAAGAGAGGTGCAAAATGTTAACCTAATAAATCCAAATGAAGGGTCTGTGGTGTTCCTTACATCAGTCTGTCTTTCTCTCTTTTTTTTTTTTTGAGACAGAGTCTTGTTCTGTGGCTCAGGCTGGAGTGTAGTGGTGCCGTCTCAGCTCACTGCAACCACTGCCTCCTGGGTTCAAGAAATTCTCATGTCTCACCCTCTCAAGTAGCTAAAATTATAGGTGCACACCAAAACGCCCAGCTAAATTCTGTGTTTTTAGTAGAGACAGGTTTTCCACCATGTTGGCCAGGCTGCTCTCGAACTCCTGACCTCAAGAGATTTGCCCCTCTCAGCTTCCTTAAACTGCTGGGATTATAGATGTAAGCCACTGCACCTAGTCCCTCCTAACAGTCTTACAACTTTACTGTTTAAAAAGTTTTCAGGGCTGGGCACGGTGGCTCATGCCTATAATTCCAGCACTTCAGGAGGCTGAGGCAGGTAGATTACTTGACATCAGGATTTGAGACCAGTATGACCAACAGGGTGAAACCCCATCTCTACTAAATATACAAAATTAGCCAGGCATGGTGGCACATGCCTGTAATCCCAGCTACTTGGGAGGCTGGTACAAGAGAATCACTTGAACCCAGGAGGCTGAGGTTACAGTGAGCATAGATCATGCCACTGCACTCCAGCCTGGGCAACAAGAGCGAAACTCCATCTCAGAAACAAAATTTAAAGTTAAAAAAAAAAAAAAGTTTTCAGCCTCAGTGTAGGATTCTGTCTCTACAAAAAAACTTAAAAGTTACCCAGGCGAGTGGTGTATACCTGTAGTTCCAGTTATTCAGGAGGCTGGGTCAGGAAGATCACTTGAGCTCAGGGGGTCAAAGCTACAGCAAGCCATGATTGCACAACTGCACTTCAGCCGGAATGACAGAGCAAGACTCTGTCTAAACTAAATTAATTCAAATTACAAAGTCTTCAAAATATATTAGGAGGGAAAAAACTAACAAATACAAATGTTTTTATAAGGTTGAAAAATAATGGCACAACTTTTCCAAAGGCATTATTTTTAAATCCAGAACCTTCCAAACCATTACCATTCTATCCCAGTCAAATTTCTTTGGGGTGCCTTTGGTGCTGTTTCTTAGGAAGCCAGAGATGAGAGTTAAGACTGGACTCTGTGAGCTCCGACCTACCAGTTAGTATTCTTAAAGGCTACGTGACCTAAAACAAATCTCTTAAACCGCCAGAAATAGCGTCTCTGGGAAAGCAGCAATGACAGCAAAGGATTACTAATTAAGCTACTTTGTGGGATGTGACAAAATTCACAGCAAAAAGAAACTTGCCAATTAAAAGATTTTTGGGGCAAGGGGCCCAATACTATGAGTCCAATGGAAAAAAGAAAAAAAGGTTTACATTTTATTTATTTACCTGAGACGGGCTTTCACTGTCACCCAGGCTGGAGTGCAATGGCACTATCTTGGCTCGCTGCAAGTCCACCTCCCAAACTCAAGCGATTTTCCCACCTCAGCCTCCCAAGTATCTGGGACTACAGGCATGCACCACCACGACCAGCTAAATTTTTTTGTATTTTTTGTAGACAGGGGTTTCAACATGTTGCCCAGGCTAGTCTCAAACTCCTAGACTCAAGGATCCGCCTGCCTTGGCCTCCCAAAGTGCTGGGATTACAGGTGTGAGCTACTGCACCCTGCCCAGGTTTATGGGTTTTGTTTTGTTTTTTGAGGCAGAGGCTTGCTCTGTTATCCACACTGAAGTGCAGTGATGTACTATCGGCTCACTGCAACTTCCACCTCCCAGGTTCAAGCAATTCTCCTGCCTCAGCCTCCCAAGTAGCTGGGACTACAGGCGCACACCACCACGCCTGGCTAATTTTTGTATTTTTAGTAGAGACAGGGTTTTGCCACATTGGCCAGGTGTCAAACTCCTGACCTCAAGTGATCCACCTGCTTCGGCCTCTCAAAGTGCAGGGATTATAGGTGTGACTCACTGCAGCCTGCCGGTTTCTGTTTTATATCTGCATTTTATCCATCCAAGAATCCACTGGATATGTGTGTGCATATGTGAATATATACATGTATTTATATAAGCATACACACACACAATGAAGAAATAAATACCTGAATGCAAGTTAGAATATGCAGCTTACCAGTGATATTAATTTATTGCAGCTCTCACAATGGCCTAAAGGAAAACATTCCAGGCTGTGGATCAGAATTCTTTCTTGTTTGAAATTATGCTTTATCATAAGGGCTAAGCAACTGTAGGCTTTTGGCTGAATGAACCATTACTACCACCAGAATAGTGAGCTAAATGAACAAATACAGTGTATACTAAAAATATTACACAGGATTTAATGCTAAGGTATTTTAAAATTTAGAGAAAAATAATGATCACTCAAACCACTGCATTTAAAGATCACTAATTAGCCTTAATAATTTTATTATTTATTTATTTTTATTTTTTTGAAATGGAGTTTCACTCTTGTTGCCCAGGCTGGAGTGCAATGGCACCATCTCAGCTCACCACAACCTCCACCTCCCGGGTTCAAGCACTTCTCCTGCCTCAGCCACCCCAGTAGCTGGGATTACAGGCATGCGCCACCACGCCTGTCTAATTTTGTATTTTTAGTAGAGACGGGCATTCTCCATGTTGGTCAGGCTGGTCTCAAACTCTCGACCCCAGGCAATATGCCTGCCTTGGCCTCCCAAAGTGCTGGGACTACGGGTGTGAGCCACCTCACCCAGCCTAGCCTTAATAATTTGAATTTTAAAAAAGATTTTTTAAAGCAAATTCCAAGTGAAAGTCTTGTACCCGCTGTTGGACAATAGAAGGAGGTTCTGTGTTGGCATTGGAAAACAAAAGACATGTGAGTTGCAAAGAAACTGGAAACATCCATTTCAAATAGAACCATCAGTACATGAAACTATTTTAAAGTGTAAAAAATGTTATGTGTATATATTTATCTCAAATAAGTAGAAGAAAAGTAAAGCTTATAAACATGCTCATGTCACCAGTCTCAAAACTAAATAACACGGGATGGGCGCAGTGGCTCACGCCTGTAATCCCAACACTCCAGGAGGCCGAGGAGGGCAGATCACTTAAGGTCAAGAGGTCAAGACCAACCTGGCAAGCATGGTGAAACTGTGTCTCAACTAAAATTACAAAAATCAGGCCAGTTGCAGTGGCTCACACCTGTAATCCCAGCACTTTGGGAGGCCGGGGTGGGCGGATCAGCTGAGGTCGGGAGTTTAAGACCAGCCTGACCAACATGGAGAAACCCCATCTCTACTAAAAATACAAAATTAGCCGGGTGTGGTGGCCCACACCTGTAATCCCAGCTACTTGGGAGGCTGAGGCAGGAGAATCGCCTGAACCCAAGAGGCAGAGTTTGCAGTGAGCCAAGATGGCACTCAGCTAGCCTAGGCAATAACGCAAGACTTCATCTCAAAAATAAATAAATAATAGATACATAAATAAAATTACAAAAATTAGCCAGTAATGGTGGCACATGCCTGTAGTCCCAGCTACTCAAGAGGCTGAAGCAGGAGACTCACTTGAACCTAGGAGACTGAGGCTGCAGTCAGCCAAGACTGGGCCACTGCACTCCAGCCTGGGCAACAGAGCAAGAATGTCTCTAAATAAATAAATACACACATATATAAATAGCACAAATGTTTCTTTAAGTTATAAGCTATAACCTATTATGGATTTGACTTACAAATAAATTTGAATTATCAAACATGTATGAATAGATTTCACTGGAAGACTATAAGGATCTGTGTCTATTTACTAGTTATGAGAAGTATGGTAATGGAATACGGTAATAGAGTTGCATGGCCTTGAGCTGACAACTTAGGATTGTAGCCTCCGGTTTTACATTTGTAATGTCAGAAGCCTATAAATGGAACTCTTGACCTTTCTTCGTTTTCACAGATCACACAAACAATGCAAGAGAAATCATTTACACACATACGTTGGGATGGCGGCATGCGTGGATCTGAGTGCTGCGGTCCGTTGTGAGATGATGAAGGATGTCAGGCATGTTCCTAAACATGTCTAGCTTATCCACATGAACCTAAGGAAAATAATATGCATATACAAATTATTTGCAATGTATTTCCTATAAACTGTTCAAGGTTAATTACTCTGGACAAAACAGTTAGTGAACTAGCTCTCTCTTCATTCTGGAAAAGCAGTTTTTCGCTATTTCAGTGCATACTGGTATTCTGCCGGGATGTTAAACAGGCACAAGGCCAGCTGACCAGGGTCACTGCCATCACTGATGGCAACAGAAAATTACGGAGACTTAGCTCCTGGATGTCATTTAATGATGCTAATATTGTCCTGCAGTCCTTCAAGAGAAATTCAATTAATATTCCTTGTACACCTACTATGTGTTGAGCTTTATTCTAAATGCTAGGAACACAGCAATAATCCACGCAGACAAAAACAATCAAGAATCATCTACCCTTGGCCAGGCACAGTGGTTCACGCCTGTAATCCCAGCACTTTGGGAGGCCGACGTGGGCAGATCACTTGAGGTCAGGAGTTCAAGACCAGCCTAGCCAACATGGTGAAACCCCATCTCTACTAAAAATATAAAAATTAGCTGGCCATGATGCGCATGCCTGTAATCACACCTACTTGGGAGGCTGAGGCAAGAAAATCGCTTGAACCCCGGAGGCAGAGATTGCAGTGAGCCAAGGTCGCGCCACTGCACTCCAGCCTGGATGAAAGAGCAGGACAGCCTAAAAAAACAGTAAAGAATCATCTACCCTTAAAGGCATACACAGAGGAGCATGTACTGTAAACAATACTCTCCCATATCTCCTTGTTCAAATTTGTTTTCAATGCTGGTCACAATCGCTAAATTTATTTCATGACCCAAAGTTTGGGAAGAATACTTTGTCTATGGGGCATTTCACGAAAAGTCCTTGTAAGCCATTTGGGTTTCTGCCCATTTTCTCCACGAGGATGTGAGTAAACTAAGATGATCTACCACTTCAGAGGAGCCACCAACCTCTGCTACAGATACATCTTGATAGGGTGCTTCCATCTGTCGCTGTTTGCAGTTATTTGGGGGGCAACGAGGGAAAGGAGAGGTGAAGCTGGGAAGATGGAAGGGAGCAAGAGAAAAGAATGAACAGGCTGGGAGTAGTGGCTCAGGCCTATAATCCCAGCACTTAGGGAAGCCGAAGCAGGCAGATCACTTGAGGTCAGAAGTTCAAGACCACCATGGCCAACATGACGAAACACCATCTCTACTAAAAATACAAAAATTAACCAGGTGTGGTGGCGCACACCTATAATAATCCCAGCTACTCCAGAGGCCGAGGCAGGAGAATCGCTTGAAACTGGGAGGCGGAGGTTACAGTGAGCCAAGATTGTGTCATTACACTACAGCCTGGGGGAAAGAGCAAGACTCCATCTCAGAAAAAAAAATGAATGAGTAGTCGAACAGTCGCCATACCTGGACTCCAAATTCTTCACTAAGGTTGGTGAATAAATATTCATAGCCATAAGCTGCTTTGCAGTTCAGCCACACAACATGGTACGGGCTCCGAGTGATCCAGCTTCCAACCAGCTCTAAGATTCCACTTAAACACTCCTCCTAGACAGGATTTTAAAGAGACATTTAACAGATGGAGAGCCACAAATAGCCTTTTCCTTCCCAACATTCACTGATACTCACACCAATGGGGACAATTAGGATCTGGCCTGTCACCCTACAAACTTCCTACTAAAAACACTGGCATACCCAGATTATCATCCTGTTTCTCCAAGCAGACTTACCCGACTTGGAATTTGGAAAAATCTTGGATCAAAGAAAGTAGTATCTAAATAAACACTTTGGATATCTTTGACTCTGAAAAGAAAAAAGTAATTGGTGTTAGCCATCCAATGTGACATAAATTATGTATAAACTTTTTTTTTGGGGGGTGGGGGGAGATGGAGTCTCCCTCTGTTGCTCAGGCTGAAGTTCAGTGGCACCACCTCAGCTCACTGCAACCTCTGCCTCCTCGGTTCAAGCGATTTTCCTATCTCAACCTCCCAAGTAGCTGGGATCACAGGTGTATGCCACCACACCTGGCTAATTTTTCTAATTTTTAGTAGGGACAGGCATTCAATGTGTTGACCATGCTGGTCTCAAACTCCTGACTTCAAGTGATCCACCCACCTCGGCCTCCCAAACTGCAGGGATTACAGGCGTTGGCTACCACACCTTGCCAATTATGTGTAACATTTAAGCTCTCAGCTATTTTACAGGGTGTTCCATTCCTTTTGGGATTTTTTTGTTAATATTGTTGGGAAGTGATTTCCACACACAAAAAATTACAAAGCTATTGAATACATGATCTACTGAATTTTGACAAACTCATTGTAACTACTACCCTAATCAACACAGAGAACATCCCATGACCCCACTTCGAGGAGAAAAATTTGTTCTACTATTACAAATATTATAATCAAGTTTGATTTTTAATAGAAACAAAGGTTTCTGTTTGTTTCTATTAAATGGGAAAAGAACAACTTTTTTTAAATAGGGTTTCACTCTGTCATCCACTCTGGAGCGCAGTGGCAAGACCTCAGCTCACTGCAACCTCCACCTCCCAGGTTCAAGCGATTCTCCTGCCTCAACCTCCCAAGTAGCTGGGACTATAGGAGTACACCACCATGCCTGGTTAATTTTGTATTTTTAGTAGAGACGGTGTTTTGCCATGTTGCCCAGGCTGGTCAAAACAATTCTTGGCCCCTTGTACAGTTCTTGAGGGTATGACTGAATAGTTTAAAGTTTTATTGTTTTGACTGGGTATGGTGGCTCATGCCTGTAATCCCAGCACTTTGAGAGGCCAAGGCAGAAAGATCACCTGAGTCAGGAGTTCAAGACAAGCCTGGCCAACATGGCGAAACCCCAACTGTACTAAAAATACAAAATTAGCTAGGTATGGTGGCACACACCTATAAACCCAGCTACTTGGGAGGCTGCGGCAGGAGAATCACTGCAACTCTCTGTAGGCAGAGGCTGCAGTGAGCTGAGATTGTGCCACTGCACTCCAGCCTAGGTGACGGAGCAAGACTCCAACTCAAAAAGAAAAAAAGAACTGTACGAAGCCCAGTACCTGCCCCCGGAGTGCAGAAGCTCCATTCTAGCAGCTTCTCCTTTTGCCAATCTGAAGTCTCCTGTGTACAAGACAGTTCCATTATTGCCCTGAAATAAAAACCTAAAAAGGAAATATATCTTAGTGACTTCTGAGTCTCATATAAAATCCCAATAAAGCAAATACATGCGAGATGCATAGTAAATGATTCCTGTAAATGATTCCTGCAAACATAGCCATTATGGTACAACGGTAATGGAATCCCACGATAATTAGAATCTCTTGGTAATTAGAACCATATCAGGCACTTGGCTGCTACCTCTTCCCTTGGGTAGAAAACAATAACAGAATGGAGATGCTATCCAGCTTGTAACAGATGTTCCCTGTGATATGTTAGCACTTTCAATTATATGTTGACATCATTCTTGCTTATGGAGAGAAAAATCCATGTGATGATAAACTACAAGGTCACTGGGGAAAGAGCTGCTGAAGACTTCCACTTATTTATTTATTTACAAGCGTCTTGCCCTGTCCCCCAGGCTGGAATGCAGTGACACAGTCTTGGCTCACTGCAACCTCTGCCTTCTGGGTTCAAGCAATTCTCTGCCTCAGCCTTCCGAGTAACGGGGACTATGGGGGCATGCCACCACACCCAGCTAATGTTTACATATTTTGTAAAGACAAGGTTTCACCATGTTGGCCAGGCTGGTCTTGAACTCTTGACCTCAAACGATGCACCTGTCTCAGCCTCCCAAAGTACTAGGATTACAGGCATGAGTCACCATGCCTGGCCATGAAGACTTTCACTTTATAAGAAAATCATGTTTCAAATCTGATCTTCACCTCAGTCCCCTAGCTCAATTTGGGAACAAGTGTATTTTAAACGGCTAGAAAAATAATCAAATCTTCCTAAATATATTATTATTATTATTTTAAAGACAGGGTCTCAGTCTGCTGCCCAGGCTGCAGTACACTGACATGACTGGCTCACTGCAGCCTCCAACTCCTAAGCTCAAGCAGTCCTCCCACCTCAGCCTCCCAAAGCACTGGGATTAGAGACATGAGCCATTGCACCCAGACCCCTATTAATTTTAGACCCTAAAAATTTATTTCTACAAATACAGTATGTATCCGCATATAATAAAATAACAAAATAAATGAGCCCCCTTACATAACTGATCCCGGGCAGTGACCAGCTGGTAAAAGAGTCACGACAATCTCTTCCTTCTAAAAAGAAAATAAAGAAAAAATAGTAATGGAAGCAGTGATCATAGGACCTACCTCAACAAAGCCCTCCTTCAGAGAACACATTTATGTACCTCTAAGAATGTGCCTTTTCTCCCAATTTCCTCACTTTCCAAGTCCTAGAAAAAAAGTGGAATCCTTGTCCACTCTAATAGAGTTGCCATAAGACTAATTTCACCACTAGTTATAGGACCAAGAGAAATGAAAAACGATGGCTACACAAAAATGTGTGCATTAGCGTTCACAGCAGCATTCTTCACATTAGCCAAAAGGTGGAGCCAGTTCAAATGTCTATCAACTGAAGAATGAATCAGCAAAATGTGGCCTAGCCATACAATGAAATATTATTTGGCCATAAAAAGAACTGACACATGCTACAATGTGGATGACCCTTGAAAACATCCTTGGTGAAAGAAGCAAGATACGAAATGAACATGTTATATGATTCCACTCATAGGAAATATCCAGGATAGGTGAACCCATGGAGAGAGCGAATCAAATACGGTAGTGGTTGCCAGGGGTTGGGGAAGGAGAAAATAGGGAGTGATTCCAGTTGGTACAGGATTTTTCCTTTGGGGTGCTGAAAATATTCTGAAATTGACTATGGTGATGGATACACAAGTCTGTGACTCTGACTTCCATTTCAATAAAGCTATTTAACAATTTTTAAAGCCTGGGCCTGGTGCAGTGGCTTACACCTGTAATTCTAGCACTTTGGGAGGCCGAGGCAAGCAAATCCCTTAAGGTCAGGAGTTCAAGACCAGTCTGGCCAATATGGTGAAACCCTGCCTCTACTAAAAATACAAAAATTAGCTGGGCATGGTGGTGGGCACCTGTACCCCAAGCTACTTGGGAGGCTGAGGCAAGAGAATCACTTGAACCCAGAAGGTGAGATTGCAGTGAGCCGAGATCGCACCACTGTACTCCAGTCTGGGTGACAGAGTGAGACTCAGTCACAAAAAAAAAAAAAGAAGTTTAAAGCCTAGGCACGGCCTGGTCCCGATTTACAGTGCCCGTCATACTGTCCCGCAAGGGCAGATCCTGCGGGCACTACTGCCTCTCCAGCCATTCGTAAGTCAGAGGAGCTCTGCACACAACAGGTTGCTGCTCAATGACAGTGAACCCTCATGGAAGTCTTCGTTCATTATGGGGGACCCTTTCAAATGGCTCTCCCCATGGTTGGAGCTGGATAAACAAGGCACAAAAGCCATGGCACACATGAAGAAACACAAAAAATCAGAGTTGGGGCAAGACTGCTCAAAAGCTTGCCTGCTGTTGGCCCCCTAGCTTGGGGAATGCCTTTCACCAACATCCCTGATTGTGACAAGGCCAGAAGCCAATCACACTATTCCCCAGAAAAGCAGTCCAGGATGATATTTACAAAGGTCATCTATCCTTTTTTTTCCCCCTTTTTAATCCTCCCTAAACTGGCTCTGTATCCTCCCTCAGGATAATCTGATGAGAGAAATACATCAACTTCACCTGTCTGATCTTGTCCAAAGAAGAAATCTCTGAAAAGGTCAGTTTCTGTTCAGATCACATTCAAACAACACAAGACACCCTCAAAGTTAAACACGGCAAAGCAGTGTGCTATAATCAAGCTACCAAACAAATATTTACCAAAATAGAAAAATACCTACTAGCTGTAAGATTTTTTTAAAAGGGGCAGGGGGCATGTCTATAGTCCTACTTACTATTAAAAGCATATATTCACAAAAGTACTACTTCAAAATTTAATGAGAAATAAATGCTTTCCATTTGGCAGTGCCCCTGTTTTGAATAAGGGTTCAGAAAAAAATTACAATATACGTGAATTTGCTGCAAAAATATTAATCACCATTTTAAATTCTGAACATTATAATAAACTCAGTAAATGTGACAATGACATCATGTAGTAATAACAACCATGGTTCTCATCATAAGCACGTAATAAGGAACAAATGTGACAAAAAATAAACCATGCCCAATCCGTTACAATACAGGAAAAACATATCTCTGTTAAGAAGTGAACGTTCTTTTCCCTCCCAAAAATTCCTGTGTTGAAATCCTAACCCCCAAAGTGTTTTTATTAGGAGGCTTGTGGGAAGTGATTAGTTGTTGAGGGTAGAGTGAATGTCATCACTGCCATGTGACGACATCACTGCCTTTACCAAACAAACCCAAGGGAGTTTGTTTGCCCCTTGACTGTGGGAGGACACAGAACAAGGACAGCATCTAAGAACCAGCAAGTGGCTGGGCACAGTGACTCATGCCTGTAATCCCAGCACTTTGGGAGGCCAAGGTGGGCAGATCACTTCAGATCAGGAGTTCAAGACCAGTCTAGCCAACATGGTAAAACCCCCTATCTACTAAAAATAATGACTGGGCACTGGTTGCAGTGGTGGGCACCTGTAATCCCAGCTACTAGAGAGGGTGAAGCAGGAGAATCACCTGAACCAGGGAGGTGGAGATTGCAGTGAGCCAAGATCTTGCCATTGTACTCCAGCCTGGACTACAGAGTGAGACTGTCTCACAAAAAAAGTAAAAAACCAGGAAGTGGACCCTCTCTGCAGGAGCCTGGATCTTGGACTTCCAGGCTCTAGAACCCTGAGCGGTTAAGTGTCTGTTGTATAAGCCATTCAGTCTATGGTAGTTTTGTGAGTACAGCCCAAATGGACTTAGACAATCACAAATGGATTCTTTTTGCCTCTAAAACCCCACTCAATTACTAGACTTTTATTTATGGTTAAAGGAGTATTCAAAATCAAAGAGAAAGATTAAGGGTGTAGCTGAAGGGTAGAGCATTTGACTGCAAAGTCAAAGAGGAAGATAATCATTTTAGCACATTTTTTAAAAATCAATATTTAATATTTAGTTACCTCTCCTGATGCTTCATCCACTAAAGATATCTGGGTAGGAGTTTCGATTTCAATAGACATCTGTAAAAATAAAATAAGAGATCATGTATATAATAGTTTTTCATGGCTTTCCATGTCTTTGACGTCTGAAACACAGAATCAGGGCAAAAAGAAATTTCAGACTGTCTACACAAACAATTCTGATTATGTCGTAATCAATATTTTAACAGCTGGAAAAAATGGTAAAGCAAAAACAATACATGTCATGAGGCAGATCTGGCAATATGTAGTAAATGCCTTATAAATGCATATAATCTGAGCCGGGTGTGGTGGCCTCCCAAAGTGCCTGTAAGCCCAGCACTTTGGGAAGCCCAGGCAGGTGGATCGCCTGAGGCCAGGAGTTCAAGACCAGCCTGACCAACATGCAGAAACCCTGACTCTACTAAAAATAAAAGTTAGCCGGGCAGGGTGGCATATGCCTGTAATCCCAGTTACTCTCGAGGCTGAGGCAGGAGAATCACTTGAATCTAGGAGGTGGAGGTTGCAGTGAGCCGAGATCAGGCCATTGCACTCCAGCCTGGGCAACTCCGTCTCAAAAAAAAAAAAAAAAAAAAAAAAGGCGTATAATCCTTTGATACAACAATTCTATTTCCATGAATTCATTTTTCCTCCTTCATCTCCCCAGCCCTACCACTACCATTCCCCTCTCCCTCTGAATTTTGAGTCTTTATAAAAAAGCGTGGCCATGTGTCCTGTGTATAAATAGGTTTCTGCCTCAGAATGGGTCCGTGACAAGGATGCCTCGTACACTGGTTCTTTTTTTAGACCGAGTCTCGATCTGTGGCTCAGGCTGGAGTGCAGTGGTGTGATCTTGGCTCACTGCAATCACCGCCTCCCAGGTACATGCAATTGTCCTGCCTCAGCCTCCCGAGTAGCTGAGGTGACAGGCACCTGGGATTACGCAAGGCTAATTTTTTATATTTTTAGTAGACACGGGGTTTTGTCCTATTGGCCAGGCTCCTGACCTAAGGTGATCCACCCACCTTGTCCTTCCAAAGTGCTGGGATTACAGGCATGAGCCACCCTACCTAGCCTCATGCACCCATTCTAAGTGCTGCAGAACTCTCACTGGTATATTTCCCCCCATCACCAGAACAGAGATTAGCACATTAGAGACATTCAGTAAGTATCTGATGAATGGATCAATGTGATTTTTCAACTTTTTAGTCCACTAATGTCCCAAAATTTACAGTGTCTAAGGTTTGGATGTTAAAATATTTTTCTATTTCTGCAATTAAACATCTTATTCATGATTCACTATTTAATACTGCTAGATTCAGTTATTATCTTCATAAGGATTCTCACATGTTCATGTATGAAATGACTTTTTTCATGTTGACCGTTTTTGAGATATGGTCTTGCTGTCTCCCAGGCTGGAATTCAGTGGCACAAACATAGCTCACTGCAGCCTTGGACTCTTGGGCTCAATCTGATCCTCCCACCTCAGCCTCCCTAGTAGCTGGGACTATAAGCATGTGCTTCCATGCCTAATTTTTTAATTTTTGTAGAGATGTGGTCTCACTATGTTATCCAGGCTGGTCTCAAACTCCTGGGTTCAAGCAGTCCTTCCGCCCTGGCCTCCCAAAGTGCTGGGATTATAGGTATGTCTGTCATCTCTTTGGCTACCAAAGTTAAGCTGCTTATCTTTTTATTATTTCCTACAACAACTCATCTAATATATGGATTATTTCTTAAACATTTGGTAAAATGCACCTATAAAACTATCTGGACCAGAGGCTTTTTTAAAAATAAAATCCTTGATAATTGTTTACATTTCTTTGTTTTGTTTGTCACCCAGGCTGAAGTGCAGGGGCACGATCTTGGCTCACAGCAACCTCTGCCTCCCGGGTTCAAGTGATTCGCCTGCCTCAGGCTCCTGAGTGGCTGGGATTACAGGTGCCCGGCTAATTTTTTTATTTTTAGTAGAGATGGGATTTCACCAAGTTGGCCAGGCTGGTCTCAAACTCCTGACCTCAGATCATCGGCCCACCTCGGCCTCCCAAAGTGCTGGGACAACAGGCATGAGTCTCCAACACCCGACCCTTGTTTACATTTCTTTAATAGTTACTGATGTATTCAAGTTACCTACTCTTCTTGCCTCAACTTTGTATTTTTCTATTTTTCCAGATATTTATCTACTTTGTCTAAATTATCAAATATACTAGCATATTTTGTGAAAAAATGGGATTGCTGATGTTAGTAGTCATTTTTCCTTTGTATTCTTCTGTACTGTTATATGCATTTTTGTTTTTAAAAAAAAAAAAAAAAAAAAAAAAAGTCAGGCCAGGCACAGTGGCTCACACCTGTAATCCCAGCACTTGGGGAGATCAAGGATGGCAGATCACTTGAGGTCAGGAGTTCGAGACCAGCCTGGCCAACGTGGTAAAACTTCGTCTCTACTAAAATTGCAAAAATTAGCCAGGTGTGATGGTGGGCACCTTTAATCCTAGCTACTTGGGAGGCTGAGCCAGAAGAATCGCTTGAACCCAGGAGGTAGAGGTTGCAGTGAGCCGAGACCACGCCACTGTACTCCAGGCTGGGTGACAGAGGGACACTCCATCTCAAAAAAAAAAAAAAAAAAAATCAAAATCAATCTTGGCAGAAATTGTTCTTTCTTTCCAGAACCCGCTTTTAATTTTGTCAATCCTCTTTTATTTTCTACTGTAGCTGTTAGTCTGTATACCTTAAACCACTGCTTTTACCTTTATTCTTTCTTTCCTTAGGTTTGCTTTGTTCTTCCAATTCATTCTGACTGATTGAAGATTTCTTTCATTTATTTTTGGCCTTTTGAGATGGAATCTCGCTCTGTCTTCCAGGCTGGGGTGCAGTGGCGTAATCTCAGCTTGCTGCAACCTCCACCTCCCAGATTCAAACAAATTTCCTGCCTCAGCATACCAAACAGCCGGGACTACAGGTGACCACCACCATGCCTGGCAAATTTTTCTATTTTTAGTAGAGATAAGGTTTCGCCATATTGGCCAAGCTGGTCTCAAACTCCTGACCTCAGGTGATCTGCCTGCCTCGGCCTCCCAAAGCACTGGGATTACAGGCGTGAGCCACCACGCCCAGCCTCTTTTCTAATGTATCTATTTAATGCTATCAATTTTCCTTCAAGAGCAAATTTAGCTGTGTTTCACACATTCTGACACGCCACATTTCCACTGTCCATCAGCTCCTTCCCCTCCCTGCCATCAAGATGGAGTCTTGCTCTGTCAGCCAGGCTAGAGTGCAATGGTGCCATATCGGCTCACCGCAATCTCCACCTGCTGGGTTGAAGTGATTCTCCTGCCTCAGCCTCCTCAGTAGCTGGTATTACAGACGCCTGCCACCACGCCTGGCTAATTTTTGTATTTTTAGTAGAGACAGGGTTTCACCATGTTGGCCAGGCTGGTCTTGAACTCCTAACGCCGTCATCCGCCTGCCTCGGCCTCCCAAAGTGCTGAGATTACAGGCGTGAGCCACAGCGCCCAGCCTCCTTTTTAAATTTTTTTGAGACACGCTCTGTGTTAGCCAGCCTGGAGTGCGGTGGTGCAATCACGGCTTGCTGTATCCTCAAACTTCTCAGCTCAAGTAATTTTTCTGCCTCAGCCTTCTGAGTGGCTGGGACTACAGGCACACACTATCATACCAGGCTAATTTTTAAGGTTGTTTTTTTTTTTTTAAAGACATGAGGCCTTGCTGTGTTGCTCAGGCCGGTTTCAAACTCCTAGATTCACACGATCTTCCCACCCTGGCCTCCTGAAGTGCTAGGATTAACACGTGAGCCCCCAAACCTGGCCACATCAGTTCTATATATTATGTTTTCTTTATTGTACAATTTCCTTTTTAACCTAAGGGTTAGTTATTGTGCCCATTTAGTTTCCATGTGTCTGGGAAGATTTTAGCTGTCCCTGTATTTCTGATCTCCAATATCACTGCATTCTTTTGTGACAGCATCTGGGAGGAGCATGTTAAGCTCTCCAGTGGCAACTGCTGATTTCCTATTTCTCGCCCTGATTCTGCGGTGGCCTTGTACTATGCCAACTCATCTATGCTGGAATTATCTGCTAGAAACCCTTTCCATGTTGCCCAAAAGAAACATTCAGACAGCAGACGTGAACTAGCAGGCTACTTTTAGTGCTCTGAAGGGCACCAGAAATGGTACCAGCTCATGAACACTGTTGACCTTCTGACTTAACTCAGAGACTTGGGCAGAGCCACAGCAATGCCAGCTTCTGCTAGGTGCGCCTCTGTGAAGCTTGTCTGAGTTCTGGGGCAGGTCCATGTGCCTCAGAGCCAAAGCAGGAGACCCGTGCTATTGAGGCTGGAGGAAGTGGGAGACAGAAGGGGGTTTCCGTCTGTCCTGCCAGGCTCAGCGGGCCATTGTGCATTCCAGTTTGTCTCTGCTCTCCTCTGTTTCTCTTCCAGCTTTCCTTCCTGACTGCCAGCCAGGGTGACTAGCAGCAACTTCCAGCCAAATGCCAGAGACAAGGGGAACAGCCTTGCTGTCGTGACTGCTCTGCAGAGGGAAACAAACCCCCTTCCCAATCAAAGGTCAGGTATTGAGGAGGATGATACCAAGCATGAAAACACATGTGTACACATACATGTGCACATACTCACACATGTGTGCACATACACACAGAGAGGATGAGAAGAGAGCCTCTGTCATGACAGCACTTTCGGGGAGGGCAGTGTCCCTAAGCTGGGGACAGAAGTGTTTCCTGTGGCTTGAGAGAGAGTAGGAGCAAGCAGCCCTTTCCAGTGTGGTGCAGGGTGGGCCTGGGTACGCCTGGTTTAAACTTCACCACAGTGCTAAGGCAGGCAGAGGCCTTTTTGTCAGCTTGCCCAAATGTGGGCAGGAGGGAGGCACTGGCCTTGACAGCTATAGGCAATTTAACAACAGACAGAGGCCGGGGGCAGTGGCTCACACCTGTAATCCCAGCACTTTGGGAGGCCAAGGTGGGCGGACTACCTGAGGTCAGCAGTTCTTAAAGACCAGCCTGGCCAACATGGCAAAAGCTCGTCTCTACTAAAAAAATACAAAAATTAGCGAGGCGTGGTGATGCAGGCCTCTAATCCTAGCTACTAGGGAGGCTGAGGCAGGAGACTTGCTTGAACCTATGAGGCAGAGGTTGCAGTGAGCTGAGACCACGCCACTGCACTCCAGCCTGGGTGACAGAGTAAGACTCTGTCTCAAAAA